TTTTTGAATAGATTAATAAAATCTATTTTTGAAAATGATTTGGAAATCTCTACATAATATTTAAAATGATATAGAGTTTTATTTAATTTATTAAACATATATAAAAATTTTTATTGAATTTTTTAAAATGATATGTAATTTTAACAAAATTATTTTAAAATTTTCAACTTAACTTTAATTTTTTGAAAATATATTTTCTATTAAAATATTATTTAACTGATAAACCATATCATAATAAAAATTAAAAAATATTTAAATTATAATATTTTATAAAATATATTTAAAAAATTATCTTTTCCTTTATTTATTTTTTATAAAATATATTTGAAAAAGGAAAATAAAAGATATTTAATATTTTATAATATATTTTATGGATAGCAAATATTATTTTTTATTATGATTTATGAGTAAAATAATTTTTTTAATAGAAAATAATTTTTTGTTTTTTTTTTAAGAATTTGAATTTTTAACTTAATTTAAATTTTTAAAAAACTATTTTCTATTAAAAATAAAATATTACAACCCAAAATATAAAAATACAATTTTAAATTTAATATTTTATAAATATAAATGAAATATATAAAATTTTGAAATAGTTTTATCTTTGGTTCTAAACTTTGAGAGAATTTTACTTTGATTCTTCATTTGTCATGTGAGATATTAATTGATATTATCATATAATATCAATTGTCATTTACCATTAATTTAGACGGTTTTGTGAATGAAAGAATAAAAATAGGATAATTTTAGACAAAAAAGGATCTAATTAAAATTTTTTAAAGTTTAAGACTAAAATAAAATTTAGGTCAAAGTTTAAGGACTACGTTGCTATTAACTATAATTTTAAATAAGATAGATTGAAATGATATAAAAATATATAATTCACAGGATTTCAAATTTTAATAAAAATATAAATTTAATAAAAATGAAAAAATATATTTTATTTTTGACATATCATACAAGTTATAATTAATTATTTTCAAGTTTTAAATGTTTTTAATACGAAATAGATGAATATAAATCCACAAATTATCTTACGATCAACATAAATCTATTTTTTAATTAAAATATCTATTTGAATAAGAAGCTAAATTGATTTCGACGAGATTAAAAGTGATGAAAAAGATATTAGTTATCATAATGAAGTAATTAAAATTAACGATGAAATATATGTTTGAATATATTTGATATTAAAAATGCAATGACAATGATAACATGAATAGAGCGAAAAGAAAAATTATTATTAAAAATATTAAATTAAAATTTATATAAAATAAAATTTATGATATATATTTGATATTTTTGAAATTAATAATAATTAAAAATTATTAAAATGATTTTATATCAAATAATAATGAGATTAAAATTTATATATAATTGAAATTTTAGTACATTGGCATTTATGAAATTAATTAATTATTAAAAATTTCAGATTTATTATTATTTAGTTTTTTAATAAAAATAAATAGCCAAATAAATTTTGATCAAAATAAATAAACAATTAGAACTTGAATAAATACATAAATAATAATTAACTATTTAATTATTAATTAGTTTATTATATTAAAATTTATTCAAAAATTTTAAATAAAATATAAAATTTAAGTGACAGACATTTTCATCGTTATTTGTAGTTTGAAAGGTAAAAATGAAAAGAAAAAAAGAGAAAGAGCTGCACTGATGTTTGCCAAACAATATCTTAATTCAGTTAAACAACCCGACTCGACTGCACCATTAAGCTCCAAGGCATGGGCTGAAAAACTCGGAAACCTTTGGTTTACGAATTTTATTTTTTCTGAATCTAACTATCCCTTATCTATTTCTCGGTTTGGTTTAGTTGACAAACTGTAGCCGAGTCATAAATATGGACCCTACCATTATAGATAGCGCCACGTGTGAATTGGAATTGATTATTCCGATTCGTGTTCCTCAATCTCTACACCACGTAAAGAGTTAAAAAAAGGAAAGTTGTCTACGCGGCGGAGCGATCTAACTACCTCCAAGAAGCCATCTCTTCCCAAATCCAACCATAAAAACACAGAGACAATAACGTTTTGTATCAGATCGGATCGTCTCAGCCTCCTTCAATTCATTCTCTGACTGTTTTCCTAACACTGATCGAACATGAGTTTCCTCTTTGGCCAGCGAAAAACTCCCGCAGGTATCAATTTTTTTTAAATAATTAAAATTGGTGCGATTTTTTGTTTTGATCGTTCCGTATTGAGTTTGATAAAGTGGTTCCTGATAGAGGGTCTTAGTAATTGGGTAATTAAGTGATTAAAATAATAGTTGATTGTATTTTGCTGATAATTATTTTTGGAAATCGAATAAATTTTTTTATTAGAACTAAGAATTTCAACATCGAATGCTCAAAGTTCTGTAAATTTTAGAAATGTTTGTGAATTATGCTATGTGGTATTTATTTTTATTTGTTTTAATTTTGGATAGTAAAATCGATCATTGCATGGTTGCTTGTTCATATTTGTATCGATAGAGTTTTAGAATTTATTGAACGGAACTGTTTATCGCCATCGTGTCTAAATTTCACGTTGTATTCTTATGAAAGATGCAGGCTAACTGAATAGCTGGGTTGTGCATTGTATGGGGTGAATTAAATGGTGTTGATTTTATCTTTTGTTGATGGGTTTTGGGAGGTATTTAGGCCATCAATTTGGATGGTGTTATTCATTTTTTATTGAGATGTTGGGTAGTGATATATGAGAGTATTGATGGGTTTTGGTTTCAGAGCTTCTGCGGGAAAATAAGAGGATGCTGGACAAATCCATTAGAGAGATAGAGAGGGAGAGGCAAGTTCTACAGACCCAAGAGAAGAAACTGATTACAGAGATAAAGAAAAGTGCAAAGCAAGGCCAGATGGTGAATACTTTTTTCTAAATCAATAGTGTTTTTCTTGCTTATCTTTTATGTATGTGTTGTTAAATTCCTCTTAAAAGTGGTATGTATTGGATAAAGTGATGATCAGCTTGAAAAGTTTATGTTCTTTTAGGCAATCATGAGCAAAAAATATTTTTATTCTTTTGGTATACATGAAGTTGCTTTGTTGGTGATTTAAATGTAACATGATGTGATTCAGTGCTTGATGACTCTGTTTTATGTGTGTATGGCATGTTTGGAAGGATTAGTTTGATTTATTTGTGATTGATTTCAATCACTTTCACTGATAGACATCATGCAATTTCTTTAAAAAGTTGATGTGCTTTTTTCTTCTTCCCTTTTTTTTTTGTAAAGAAAATGCATCTATTATATGTGTCACAGTTTGTAATTTTGGCATTTTGGCAGCTTGAGTTTTGTGTATATCTATGTTTTTTCTTTTAGTGGAGTGATGCAGTCATTGCTTTTCTCATTGTGCATCAAGATTGTGTTTTCCATCTCTCTTGGGGTAACTAGGTTTTTTATAACTACTAGACTTATAAAAGTTATTATACATGATCTACATGATCTACGTGCATTAAACATGAATGGGCTTTCATGTCCACCTGGCCTACTACCTCAACATGTTTTGATTGATGGAATCTTATTTCAGGGAGCTGTAAAGGTGATGGCAAAAGACCTTATCCGAACACGACATCAGATTGAAAAGTTTTATAAGCTTAAATCACAGCTCCAGGGTGTATCTCTTCGAATTCAAGTATGTATTGTTATCTATCCATTTTATCTGTGTCAATAGCTTGAAGTGTGCAATTATTTTTCATCAAAGTGTTTTACATGGAAAATTATGGTCTCTGTCCTGCTTGGTAAGTAGATGGAAGTCAGTAGGCATAACTATTTAGGTGCTATTTTGGAAAGTTTTGAAATATGTTCTGCTTCTTGGATAGGAATAAATATGACTTTATTTTGTTTGCCAAAATGACAAAAGAAGATAAGCTGAAAGATCAATCTAGCTCTATTCTCATCTGAAGATGTTGTTAAGGGTTGGGGGATAAATACTTAAATTGAGCAGTCACCTGATGCGATGAGGAGAGACACTTTGTCTGCTGGTTGTCTCTGGCAGGGGATAAACAAATTGTAATGATCAAGCTGACTTCTAAAATGCCTTAGGCTACTTGAAGTACATTTCAAGATTGAAGCCTTGTAAATTCTATAAGTTATTTGCAACCTTTGATGCTATTGCCTATATATGGTACAGTTTAAAGCTTGATAATTTTCTGTACAACTTCCAGACATTGAAATCAACACAAGCAATGGGAGAGGCAATGAAAGGTGTGACAAAGGCAATGGGTCAGATGAACAGGCAGATGAACTTGCCATCCTTGCAGAGAATTATGCAAGGAATTTGAGAGACAGAATGAGAAGATGGAGATGGTGACTGAGGTGATGGGTGATGCAATAGATGATGCTTTGGAAGGGGATGAGGAAGAGGAGGAAACAGAAGAACTTGTGAACCAAGTTCTTGACGAGATTGGAATTGACATCAATCAAGAAGTACTATTTTCATCATTTCTATTCAACATAGTGCTCATAGCTTGAATAGGCTGCCTTTCTTTCCCAAATTAAGTTGTTAAGACGTACTAACTCTGCTTATTTTGATCTGATTCACAGCTTGTAAATGCACCATCAGCTGCTGTTGCAGCACCGGCCACAAAGGGTAGGGTTGCGCAGGCAGAAGCAACTGGGAATGATGACAGTGGGATAGATAGTGAATTACAGGCAAGGTTAGACAATTTGAGAAGGATGTAGTAAGTATGCCCAATTAGTGTTGTATAACGTAGATATCACCTCTATGTTGGAAGGTGAAAGTGCATTTGGATTGTAACATTCGGGAAAACTTTGCCAGAATTTATTGATTCAGGATTTGGAAATACATGGAAATTATAATAAATTACTTTTTGTAAATTTATACATGCTTTGGCTGTAAATAGGTTTTGTATTTACTCTATTTGGAGTCAGCTTTGCAATTTGTGGCACAATTTTTGGACTTGTTACCTTCTGTGTACATCTATGCTCATGTCCATTGCCTCATTTGTGTTGGATGGGCAATCTTAAAAGTATGAAGATTGTTGTTGCTGAAAAACTCACCGAATGAGCTCTGGAATTGCAAGATACATTGCCAAGATTATGGTTGTCGGGAACACGTGTTACTGTTTGGTTTTTTAAAGTTAAATGCATTGTCGATGGTAAGAAGCGTTGAGTTTGTTTTACCCGAGGAGCTAGATCAGTGGGTTCTGTAAGAGAAGTTTCTCGTGCTGGTCAACTAGTCTGGCATTCTTTAGTTTGCTTTTGTATCACGCTTACTTCAGATTTTGGCTTGACCGCTTGAACGGAAGCTGCAATTCCGAGCTTTGGTCTTGCATAACTTGCATTGCAGTGTGTAGCACCTGCCATAGCGGGCACAAAAATGTAGATAGATGGCTGAAATTTCTTTATTTTTCAATGGGATCTTTATTCGTGTCATTGTCAGCGGTGATTCACTTCTAAGAAAACTGCATTATCCGCCAGTAATTGATAGTTTTTTTTTTTTTGTTTAACGCCAGTAGTTGTTAGTTGTTACAGGGAAAAAGGGTGTATTGAATATGCTGCATGGCAAAACTTGGCTTCTATATACATATGGAAGCGACATGGCTGGCCAGCATTAATCCTTGGCCCATTTGGAGCACCAAAAGCGTGTTTAGTGTATCCGTGGGCAACTGGCTGTCTTAAATTCGTCATTGCAACATTGTGGCGCATCTCATCTTAGGCCCACAAACACCAGGACAGGAACATACAGGGTTTTAGACTTCCCCAACCTAATCAATCAACAGAGAGAGAAAGCAAAGAGAAAAAACATCAAACAAAAATGGAGAACTCAAGCTGCGCTGCCTGTACTGAGCAAACTTTCTCTGGAGTTTCCCGGTGAATTCACCACTGTGTGTCGATGACACAACGAGAAGGATCCACAGAGGCACGGCAAAGCGGGCAATCAAAATGAGAATACAACCACTTATCTATACAAGGGGCATGGAAAGAATGGTTGCACCTTGGTAGCTGCCTCACCTCCTCGCCATCTTCGAAAACTGATAAGCAAACTGCACATTCGTATTCTCCACCAGGGTCTTGAGACCCCATGTTGCTGCTTTCCTTCTTGTATTTGAAACTTGACAGCAAGTTCCTGCTTTGCTTTTCAAAACGCTGGCTGGCTGTGATTTGTGCAAGCCTGGCAGGTCTCTGCCTGGAGTCATCCTGGCGCTGCGTGCACCAACGGATAATGATAAGGTTGCATATAGCCAGCACGATGGCAACTGTTCCTACAACGACCAGGCCATGATAAAGCATAGGCAAATTTGACTTTGGCGAAAGGGTAGGAGAAGGGCCTGGAGTATCTTCCTCTCCCATATTGAAAAAAAGAGGGTTTTTTCAGATATGGCAAAGGATTTACATAGGAAGTGAGTATTATATGTAGAGATAATCATCAAGAGAATCATGTACATGGGCATAATAAAAAAAAAAAGGCTGTTAATCTAAAAGCTGTCGTTGTTATGTAGTCGTGGAGCAACTGTTGAATAAAATATCTGGCCAAAGATAATGAAGACAAAGCAAACGTACAATCACTAGATAGCGAACAAGGGTGGTGGTCAAAGTGATTGAATTCTTGGTAGGAAACCTCTCCTTCTCTTTCACTTCTTTTTTGTCTGCCTCATTTCTTTGCCTATGGACAATAGAATATGTGTGGAAAAATAGTTGGTACATGAAATCTAAGAATGATGCAACCATGAGTGAGATAGGAGATTAATCAAGTTCTCCCAAAAGCATATAATAGCCAAACAAGTCATGTGTCTCTTACAAGATTGAATTGTTTTTATTCGCATCTCATTGTAAGACTCGAATCTTTTGGCACAGTCTAGTACACAAGGCCTAACAAGAAGATGGCCCAGTCATTTGATTTCATCTGGGGGGGTGGGTCGATCCTTCTATGTATGAAAAAGAAAAAAGGAATTACATGCAATTGTTTTTAAGTTAGCTACTGTACTAATTTCTTGCTTAATTTAGTTATAATAACCGGACAGCCAAAAGCCGTCTGCTACATGCCTGATGCATCATGCATGGCTGGCCTATATAAATGGGCTATGAAAAGACATTTTTATATAAGTTGGAAACTGGGATAGCAACATTCACTGCTATTCTTTCTTACTACATTGTTGAAGATCTTACTAAAATTAGCAATAGTGCAAAAATCATATGGGGGGAATTAGTTGTCTAATCGATAAGTGCAAAATTTTGGTTCTACAATTTGTTTCTAGTTTTGGGAATTCTGATATAAAACAGCATTCCGGTTGGCTGCAGCAGGGGCGCTGCGTGGGATTGGGATATAAGCCTGGATAAGAGTATATGAGAAATTTTACCGCTATCCAAATATATTGGTTCACATGCTGTGTTTAACTTGAGTTTTGATCCCAGATTGTTCGTTGCTGTTCTTTCTTTGCTTTTCTCTTCTCTTCTCAATGGCGACCTGTAATGTTAGCTCTGATGTATTATTTGAAATCTTATCGAGAGTGGAATTCCAGACGCTGTGGAGGTGTAGACTTCTCTCAAGGGAATGCAACAGTCTCACCTATGAATCAAGTTTCAAGCGGCTTCATTGCCAGAGAACAAACACGATAGCCCGATATTTTATTCAAAGTTTAAAAACAATATGTACCATTCAACCTTTTGTCCATAGACAATCCAGGTCTTGATCCTGACTTGAGCCTAGATAATTTTCTACCTGATCGGCCTGTGAAGATTCTAGCTACTGTTGCTTAAGGTCTGATGCTTTGCATAAGCCAATCAGAAAACCGCTTTATATTTGTAAGCCTAGCACTCGGCAGTGGGAAATTATACCCAGAGAACAAACACGATAGCCCGATATTTTATTCAAAGTTTAAAAACAATATGTACCATTCAACCTTTTTGTCCATAGACAATCCAGGTCTTGATCCTGACTTGAGCCTAGATAATTTTCTACCTGATCGGCCTGTGAAGATTCTAGCTACTGTTGCTTAAGGTCTGATGCTTTGCATAAGCCAATCAGAAAACCGCTTTATATTTGTAAGCCTAGCACTCGGCAGTGGGAAATTATACCCAGTCCAAATCCTCGATGTTTTACTAGAAAGATAGCCAAGGTGGTGCTTAGATCAGACCCTTTGCGGTTCAAAATAGTGTGACTCTCAGATGGTGAGTACAAGGATTCCGAGCCTGAACTCGATGATTACAAACGTTTCCACTCTGAAATTTTTGATTCAGATGTTTGGGGTTGGAATCAATTAGATGATTTAATGTTGTCTTCCAAAGATTTTTCCAACTCCCAACATGCTATATCAGCATACAGTGGGCTGCATTGGCTTACTCGTAACGATGAGAAAAATAATTTATTATCATTCTACGAAGACAAGCACAGTTGGGAATTGATTTCACTGCCAGATTCACTATGCCATAGACAACATTGGCATTCTGTCAATCTTGCAGAATGAGAAGGGAAACTGAAAATAATTTATGTGAGAGCAAATATTGATTCTGTGAAATTTTGGACAATGAAAAATTATTCTGGGGAAAAGATTTGAGGAAACAACACTATTTAAATTTGATAGCATTTAACAAAGAGATTGGCCATTCTTCGGCTGTTTCCTTTTATAATGCTGATACTCTGCTTATGATCGGATTGTACATCGCAATATTTATAATTTTACGAGTGGTCAATTCTATCAGTTAGAATTTCAATCAAAATACAATTATCCAGAATCAGCAGCTTTTGTTCCCACGGATTATGTGCCAGTCCAGTTAAGACGACCAAGTATTGTTTACAGCCCCAATTTTTTTTAGTATTTTGGTTTTTTATTCTTTTCCTGATTTGCTTTATTCGAGATATATAAACTTGAATAATTCAATCTTTTATCTAATATTTTTTATTTGGATTTATGTTGTTATTAAAAATTCTATTTCTTACAAATATTTTATGTCTTGTCTAATTTGCTTTTGTGCTTGAAAATTGTGATGAATGTAGTATTATTCTTTTATTAATTCTTTAAAATTCATCAACAAGGATACAAAAATTGGTAAATACTTTAAAAAAATGTGTTTGTTTAATGGTATGGTTTTATAAATATAAAATGTCAAAAATTCAAATGCTATGATTAACAATTTTTTAAAAATAATTATATAATACGATTAATGCTTAAAATCGGTTCCAAACACTGATTCAACCCGGTTTGATCCGATTGAAACGAGGAATTGACAGCAAACAGCCTATTCAATACATTTCATTGAACAAATAGGTCTTCGATTTCTAATTTAACCGGTCCAGTTGACCTAACTGATCCGTTTTTAAATCACGGCTAAATACTTCATCCAATAAAAGGTCACCTACTTTCTTTCGCAGGCAGCTGAGTGTTAAGATATTGAGTTTTGTTTATCATTTTGGGACAGCTTGAAATAAATTTGCTTTAGGTGACACTGATCTTTCACCCTTGGATTTCAACAATTAATTTTTTTGATGTTATTATGTACTAGGCAATATGCCATGCATGGTAGAAACTATTCCTCCTTTGAGCAATGGAGTCAAAACCATTTAATGAATTAATTATAAATATATCAACAGTAGTTGTGTAACAGGTATTTCCCTCTCTTCTCTCTCATGTGTTTCTTATAAAAATTTAAAAAAAAAAAAAAAAAACTGTTAGATATTGCACATTCAAAGTTTCTTCCAGGTTTCTTGAGACCCCTGTTGCCGCTTTCTTCTTGTACTCGAAACTCGACAGCAAATTCCCGCTAGGGTTTTCCTGAACATTACTATAAAAGGTCTTGTACACTCAGGTCATTTTTAATACATAAAATGATAAATAAGATAAGATAATTATTATTTTATATTATATTTAATTTATATTTAAAGATAGAGATAAAATGTAAAGAGAATTAATTACACTCTTAATATAAAATAATTTAATTTTTTTAAAAATAGATAATATTATTTTTAATATATGAGATTGATCATATATGTTTTTTATATATTTAAAAATTATATAAATTTTAAAAAATAATTTTAATTATTATACATATCAAATATAAAATAAAATGATATTATTTAATTTATTTTTATTTTTATTTTATTTTATTCATAATCTTATATATTAAATATGCTATAATTGATGTATGTGTTTCTACGGTAAAAAAGTATCATGGATGTTATAAGAAAATGCCACTTCTGAACAAATAATTCCAGCTAAAAGAAAAGAACAGTCTTTGTTGCCACTTTTTTTAGGAGTGAAATTTTATATATTCTAAAATAATAATAATGCCCTTATTTATTTTTTTGCTGTAAGGATCTAACATATGTTTTAAAATTAATTTATTTAATTAATAATTATTAACTTAAAAATAAAAATTATTGTGTTTAGTATTGTTTAAAAATATAAAACAATCATATTTTGTAACAGCCAAGCAAGGTACTATATAAATTTAAAATCGTTTAACTACAACAAATTGGAAGATATTCATAATATTTTATATATTTTTAATAAGATAAAACTAAATTACGAGCCATGTGGCCCCCGTTGGCTGCTCTCTCTTTAACCAATAGATGATATATACTCTCGTTAAACTGCACAACAACACTGGTAAAAAATTAATTTTAAAATTTATTTAATTTAGCGAGTGAGATCGGCTGAAAACAAACAAACATTCCCACGTGAAGACGTGATCCGAAATTCGTCTAAGCCACAGTCCTCAGCCAGCTAAACCACAAAGAGTAGTAGCTAGAGTATTAGGATGTATAGCTAATAATTTAGTCAGATGTCGTGACTCGGTTATTGTGTAAGCCGTTTCTCTAAGTTGTCAGGGAGCCAGACAATGGAGATTTGAACCCGCGTTTTGTTGAGCGGAGTGGCTGGAGGTCCAGTCTTGTAGCATTTCCTCTGAGAAAATGAGAGGCTGGTCCGGTGAAGGTGACAAAGCATTGCTGTAATTGAGCTCACCCACATCACAAAAACCGGAATTCTGGAGATCTGATAGACAAAACTCCCCCATGTTGAAGTCGAGCATTAAATCGGACAAATTAAAATCTTTCTCTTCATTTTCAGCTATGGATGATACCACATAATTAGCTGGTGTAGATGCCGATGTTTGATTCATTGGACAGTCCCAATCCATTGAAGGCTTAGCCTCTCTGTTGCTGTCAAAAGGGCCTATTTTTTGTGGGTACTGAGGGTTTATAAAAACTTTGGAGCACTTGATTGCCCTCGTTCGGACCACGTGAGACTGTGAGGAAGTTCCACCAGTTGGGGCCAGTTGGGCAGCCTCACTTTTCTTCATAAATCTTCCATTAGATTTGTTTTGTTTCGAAGCTGCTGCTGAGTTAAGGTGACATTGAACCTTTTTCCCTAAGTTGGTGTTCCAGTAATTCTTTATTTCATTGTCTGTTCGCCCTGGAAGCCTCCCAGCTATCAAAGACCATCTACACAAGAATATTGTAAACACCATATATCAAAAGCTAGCTTTAGCAGCAAGCAGTACATTGCGACTTCATCAAACTTTGAAAGACAAAAGGAGTTGCATGGAAATTGCTTTAAATAAATCATGAAAAGAAGAATAAAGAACATGTCTATGAAAGAGAGAAAGAAGAGAAACCTGTTTCCCAAGAGCTTGTGAAGTCTGATGATAAGCTCTTCCTCATCTACTGATATGTTGCCTCTTTTAATATCTGGTCTCAAATAGTTCAACCACCGAAGTCTACAACTTTTCCCACATCTCTTTAAACCTGTTACAAAGAAAAAAGATTACCACGTTTGACCCATTTCTTTTCACTTTTCATTAATTTAACTTACTTTGGAGGAGAAAACAAACTGAATTATAGTGTTGATTCCCTCCCCCTCCCCAAAAACATATATACCTGCTCTGTTGGGGAGATCTCTCCATCCGCCTTCACCGTGTGCTTTAATATACTCTGTAAGGACTTTGTCTTCATGAGCAGTCCAAGCTCCTCTGTTTAGGCCTTCCTTAGAACAACAAGGGCTCCTCCCCATTTTGCACTGCACCACCCTCTCTCTCTCTCTCTCTCTCTCTCTCTCTCTCTCTGGCTGATGGATCTATTCTGAGTTATGACTTCTGACTCTTCCAACTTTCTACTGATTCTTCACACGTCTCCCTTGTCCAGGGAATAATTTATAGCCGTTTCCTAACTATAATAATTTCTTGTTCCATGAATTTTGGGAAAAAAATGCGATAAAAACAATTTTTTTTTAATTTTCTTTTGAAAATTTAAATATAAAAGAGGAAATATATATATATATATATATATATATATATAAATGGGCTTTTGCCCCACATCTGCAGAAGCTACCACGTTTATTTCTCCACATGGAAGAATAATTATACCACGTTTATTTCTCCACATAGAACAAGTGTAAACACAACTTCTGTTCAAATTAATTTTCTGCTCCTCCTTGATGTCTGATGATGCAAGCAAG